CTACCTGTGTCAAAATAAAATATAGTAAATGATATAATATATCTTTTCGGTATCATCAGTCTGTTAGATGTGAAAATGGACCGATAAACATACTTTTATAATATTAATATGGATATAGACTAGTAACAAACGTCTGATAACTTAAAATATACGTGAAAACTTGAAGATAAGTTCAGTAGTCTATTGGCACTTGGTTATTTTTCTGTATACTTCATAAAGTAACGTTTCTTAAAGATATATACATATTAGATTGTGATTTCCTTCACAACATATTATTTTTTACGAAGTGGAGCGTGATCATTGGCTTGTTAGATTCTGTGATAATTTCCGTTGAACTTTTGTTTTCCTCGGTCGTAGATCAAGGATAGGTTTTCAATATCCGGAATGGGGTCTCTAACTTGTTTTATCTTAGCGTCCTTTATGCAGGCTATCAGGGGAATTGAGATAGTATTGAAAGCCATATTCTTTGATTCATAGCGTTGGTTTTTAAATAAACATTAATAATATTGAAATATTTAGATTTATATACAGTTGTATAATAAAGATTGTCGAACTTAAGCGTATCACGTCAAAATAGCCACATACTTGGATAATTTTTTTTTATCCTTCCAAAGACAAGATTTGTTCGAAAACATACGTATGAAAATAGTTAAGACAAGGGAAAAAATTGGAATTTAAATTTAAAAAAATCATATAATAATATAAGATTATGTCAGTTTGATGTTTCTATTTTATTTACTCGAAATCAGGATGAGCAATTAAAAATAATAAAAATGCATAGGCCATGATTTTGTATGCAATTTTGTTATAAACGGTATATATCGATTTTTAAAATAATAATAAATATGTTTATTCTGGCATCAATGGCCATTTGTAAGAAATTTTTTTAAAATCTAATTTTATAAATAGCAATATTCTTAATTGCATTCTAAAATAATACAATTATAAATAAAGACAATTGTGAACTAAGGCGGACTTATCTCAAAAGAAGATTTCAAGCTAGTTACAGTCAAGTGCTGGTAGCAGTAATCCATAGAAGCTTGACTTGACATGAGAGATAATGGAAACCAGTAGTAAGTGAATAGAATTTTAACTTCTTGTTATATATTAAACATACTTCTGAATCACACGACATGACGTGTTACGCGAAAATTTGTGAGTATGGATGGAAGTTTGTTACTCTTTCACTACTGAACGGATTTTGATGAAATTTTATAGTAATATAGCTCATACATCAGAATAACATATCCTTAGTAATATTATAAATGTGAAAGTAGGGATGTATGTTACGCAAAAAATACTATACCAATCATCATGAAATTTTGTACAGATGTTGAGGTATTAGAATGAACATAGGATACATTTATTAAAAAAAAACATGCAAGCGAAGCCGCGGGTCTAGTAGGCTATCATATTCACGCAGGTGCTATCGCGGGCACAGCTAGTAAGCTATAATCATAAGTATTTTTACTGGAAAATATACATTATCTTCATTCCTTCTTCTCTTTTTTATATAACTGGAGAGGTGAAGAAGCTGACGACCCTTTTCACCCGATGGAAAGCGGAAATTGTCTACTATATTTGACTATTCAAAAGTCATTATATTATATATATTCTTTATTGGACTTTTAAATACAAGATTTCAAATATAACATATTTATTATTTGAAATCTATATATATATAAGAAATTATTTTCATAAAAATTATTAATATACAAAGTGTTAAGTAGCATTTTAGGGATAGTTGTCATGCAACGCCCATAGTGGTCTTATGTGTTACTAAACTACGCTTTCGTACTGTATAAATCTACTACACTTTTTCACCATTCAAATAGAAACATAGTAAGTTTTAGTAGAAAAATAGGCGAAATAGAGCTGAGTTTGTAGAAAGTCTCTCATGTCTTTCATCAAAATAATGAAAATTATACAATTTTGCGAGGCAATAAAATTATGACAGTCTGTCATTTAGATAGTACCACTACTCGTCTATACGGATATGGGGCACGTAGGTAAGAAACTACGTTTATCGAAGACATACCAAATTCATTTGATTGATGGATCGCCTGCGCCGCGCCGTCCGTGAAATAATCCTGGGTTTTCGACGAAAATTTGTCAAAGAAACGACACCTCGGGGAGATGAGGCGAGGGCGCGAAATATTTCTTTGGCTTCACCTATTTTTTACTTTTATACGTACTATGGTGTTTGTTTGAAAATTGCTAAAAGAAACTTGTCGGAACTAATATTAATTCGAACGATAACGCAATATATAAAGTTGGTCACTGTTTGTTTTTATTATGCTGTTATGAAGTAGTAGTAATAATAATAATAATAACCCACAGCAGATAATTTCGCGCCGTCAACTAATTCCAATCTAAGCAGAGATTATGAGAACTAAACAACTGATAGAAATACTTAAATGTTAGTTTTTGTACATACATAATATACAAAGTATATACAGCAAAATATTTGCACTGTGCAAGCAATCGAACCTGCGACCATCGGAAGTAAAGCGGTGTGTAGTAGTTTGAAGAGGTAATTGGTGCAGCGAAGGGGACGCAGATCTTGCAGTTGTAAAAACGACCGTAGACTACGTTGTCTATCTTTTTGTTGACTATCACGTTGGATTTAACTATACCAGCGAAATATGGAAGTGTTGCCTTTACAATAATTACATAGACCATTGACAATGCACCTGATAATAATTCCATCCGGGGATATCAGTAATGACGGTATATTTAAAACACTACTCTCCAATCTCAACTAATTGCGTTTACATTGTACCACACCTATATGTATATTGTATTCAGCGGATACTTTACAAGTAACCTCACAATGTGGCTCACTTATAATGCAGCGAGTCAATAAATTAGCCGAGTAGCTGCCTGCTCGACTGTTCCTTAAGATATTTTAAGTGCTTACTAAGTGCATGCAAATAGACTGCACAAGAGATATTCTTTGTGCATTGACTGTGATCATTAGGTATTCATACCGTCCGTTGCACGCTGCCATAAAATGGCAATGCCTGAACTTTTTTATTGGATTTTGACGAAATGGAAGCAAGCATGGTTTTTATTTATTTTTTATTTGAAACACCAATGAGGTTTTCTGGAATTTTTCTTTTTTTATTGCTCTTGTTGTTGATAAACGAGGTCAAACAGAAATAATAATATCATAAAAATTTGGTACTTCTACTATGATAATATTGTAAACAGATTTTGTTCCATGTATTTTTTTTTCTTAATTTTCTTTTGTACATATAAATAGCAGTAGTTTAACATACCATTTTTCATCCGTATATTGGCCTGGATGTTTTCTCTGTATATAATACCAGTTGTGCCCGCAGATTCGCTCGCATGAAATTTATAGCCTATGTGTTATTCTGATATATAAGCTATGTTATACAGTACAGTACCTAGAGAATTAATCATACATGTTATTTACTAAGCCAAAAGCAACACGTAAAACTGAACTATTTTTATTAAGAAATAATGTGGAAAACTGTATATACATATTGCACTTATCGTACTGGATTGATCACGTGATATCATTGAAATTTTAAAATATATCTTTTATGTTTAAACTACGTTTCCTTGAGAAGGTGGTTCAGTGTCATGAATTGCAAGTTTTCAGCTTGTTATTGGTACATTTCGTGGCCTTTCGTGGCAGTAGGTCACCATGTTAATATAAAGGACATTACACGATATTATATTTCGTTTATGGGGATATGTAAGATCCTAATAAACTCTTCAAAATGGCGGCGTCTCTAGAATAATATGTTTACATGCTTATTTTTACGAATATGCGAATGAGGGTCACGTGGAATTATTTGTTTCAGTAACGGTATATTTGTTTGTTCTTTGTAATCATTGAAACGGGTCTACCGATTTTGACGGGACTCTCGCAGTTAGCTATAAGAAGTAGCTTAGACTACTTTTATTTTGGAAAGAATATTTATTTTAATTTAATTCGGACGAAGTCACGGGTAACAGCTAGTCTACGATAACATTCGCTTTAATTTTATTAATATTTTTTTTATTAATAATGGGTTTGCGCTTGGTCTTAGCTAAATTAAAGTTGTGATAGATTTAACTCTGTCTATCTGATCTATTATTTATCTATGTTTATATATTACTAACTGTTGCGACTTTATGATGACTTTTCAGATAAAATATAATCTACCAGTCCTCGTAATACAATATACATTTCATGGTAAATGTTATTCAAATCTATTCAATGATTTCGTCTTGAAAGAATAACAAACAAATAGACAAACACACATGCAGTTTTTTGCGTTCATAATATTAAATATCGATAGTAATATATTGATTTCATTTTTGCGTATACAAGACGAAGATTCTAAAATCTAAATAAAACTGACACATACATTGTCAAATGGATAAACTAGACGGATCTTGAGGAACGCAATATTATTTGATGCGGCCCAATTAGGGAAGCGCTTCAATACACAGAACATAAACATGTCCAACTAAATGTTCAACTCGTGTTAAGGAGGGACCGGACACATTAACTGTTGTAAGACAGCCCTACGGAGTACGGCCACTAAATCAGCGTAGCGACAACCTCATTTAAATTTGATGTTTAAATTATAATTATTATTAGTGTATTTTAGTTTTTATATTAAATCTGCAGTAGCAGGTTCCTACCAGTTTGTATGGGAAATTAGAGAAACACGAACGGTGAAGGTCAGTGTTGATGTACGTCGGCATAGATGACCCTTAAACTTACACCCGGATCGCAAGTCCCGGGAACTATTCGGAGTTCCCCTATCAACGATATCGTGGACCCGGCCCGGGACCTGCACGAAAAATCTATGAAGCCATGGGATGCTAAGAATAGATTAGATTCGTTTCTCTCTATAACTAACAGAAACAACATTTAATCTTTGGAATGTAACATAGAAAACAGTATGATTAATGATAAGCAAAAACAGGAATTAAAAAATGCATAATGTAATACCGTGTCTTTTCTTTGGGAAATGGAACTAACTAACTCTTTGCCAAATGGAAGAGAAAACGCCTCTGTACAATTCTATGTGGTTGTAGCCATGCATAACAAAATATCTCCACGGTAAAGTATACACTCTATCCTGAGGAGATAAAAACCGAAGTTGTATAAGTTTCCATCAATTATAGTCCTTGACAGGTCTAGACAGTGAAAAAAGAGCGAGTATAATCGAGCGAGGAGATCGCAGTGCTCTAGAACTGAAGCACCCAGGAATAGCCCAAACTCGCTTAATAAAAAAAAATCCTTGTTTTACTACTTAATGAAGTTCATTTAAACCATTATGAGCGATTCTTAGCCAAAATTTAGGGTTCAATATATATATATATATAACCGCCCCGGTTTCGCCAATGTAGATACTAATATGGGGTAGTGTATAAAAGATAAAAAATGATTACTGTGGGTTATTCTTATGAGATAAATATATACCATCGCGGACTTAAGATATACAATTCCGTAGTACATTAATTATATATCTCTCGTAAGGTTTAGCCAGCGTCTGCGATATAAGTGCACAAAAATATGTTTGTTTCGACATCACATTACAATCCTTGATTTTTTTGGCTTTTCTGTATAATGTGTATATGTTATATATATTAACATTCCTTTAAATCATTGTACCTATTGTTAAAAACAGTATTAGAATCCTTTGAGTAGTTTGAAAGGTCTAAGCGAACAGAAAACGGAAGCCACTTCATTTTATACTATGTAAAGATAGAAGCAGTTACAGCGCATTTTTAATAGCTGTCGAACGCGTTTCCGCTGTAATCTCTTCTCAGTCGCTCACTTCACGGCTCCAACCTCTTAAGGTCAAACCTATCCGAACTCCGCTAATGCCGGCCTTCCTGCTTGATTAATTTTATCCCACATCTGTCTTGGATGGTCCATCCGAGACGATATGCAAAGGGTTTGCTTGACACTAATTAATTCAAACAGAAACATTGTAAGATACATGTTTGACACAGCCACTTGGAACAATAAATTAACGAATAATTTGTTTTATATATTTATTGTAAAATAGCGACCCATGTTGGCTTGGCACGGATGCATTATAAATCTTTGAAGTTTTAGACTTGTTCTATAGTATAATACACATAAACCTTCCTCTTGAATCAGACTATCTATTGCTGAAAACTGCATTAAAATCCGTTGCGTAATTTAAAAGATCTAAGCGAACAGATAGCAGAAGCGACTTTATTTTATACTATGTAAATATATTTATATCTGTTGTTTATTGTAAATTAAATGATTTTGGTAGTAATGTGATAATCAATAAGATTAAAGACAGTCTAAAGATGTATTTTAATATCATAAATGAAAATCTAATGTGACATTTCCCTTTAGATGGTGTTATGTACTGTTTTGTTATAAATGATTGTAAATAAATAGTAATATAAATAGCTTGTTATTAAAGCTGTTAAATTGAAATTAGAATCGGACACTTAAATATTATTTATTTGTATATATATATGTTTACGAATGTTGTTAATATTGGTGTGGGGACTATTTACACCAATATTAACAACATTCGTAAACATATATTACTAACAATCCCCACCCCTTGTGATGTATATTAATTAAGTTAACGGCCTCGGTGGTCTAGTGGTTTAGCATACCGCTTTAGTTCCGAACGTCGCGGGTTCGATTCCTCGCAAACAATTGTGTTTATGAGTATGATTATTTACTACTGACTTGCAACTGCCAGAATTACTTTATTCTTCTTTCTTTCTCTCTTTACGAATTAATAAATATTGAATTTATTAATTCGTATAAAGGTACATAATGAAGCCTCAAGTATTATTACTTATTAAGTAGCAATATCATCCGTAGGCACTTTAATTGAAATATATTTAGGGGTTAAATAATGTCTACCTCAAATTATTGTACACTAAAAACCTATTTAAAAATATAATAATATAATTAAGTGAGATATAAAATTCAATGCGGTCTTCAACGTGTTAAAGTATAGAAAAGACGTCTGTATTGTGTTGTAAATATTAATATATATGTTGCGTATAGTTTGTAAGTATAGCTGGGATTGTAAGTGGGATAAGTTGGGATTCTGTGCGTACCCGACTTTGATGTACGTCATCGAGCTACTAATATTGGATTGGAGGTAGTTCCTGATAGAGATATGCAGTGGATATTTAGCAGTATATATAATTTACTTAGCAACGAGAATGATAATTTTAAATGTGATGGATTATACATTTATTTCACAATGAAGGCATATTGATAATCCAATAAGATTTCTTAATCCATTACATTTAATACACTCTACATTTAAATAATATACATAATATAAAACAATACATAGAAGAGTAAACAATAATAGTAAAGATGATAATAATAATAATCATCTCAGGCAATTCACACAGCGCCATCTATGTAGAACTAAGACAAGCTTGTGTTATGGGTACTGGATAACTGATACTAACATGGTTTTTTTTTCGTAAGTATATATTATACATAGAAAATACCCACAATGATACAAACAATCATAGTCATGAATATATATGTTTGTACAGCGCGAGGAATCGAATCCGCGACTATCGCAAGTAAGGCGGAGTGCTAATCCGCTAGAATCCGCTCCGCCTTCGGAGGTAAAGTGCTAAAACAACATGGCCGTCATATATACAAAACAATAAATAAATAATAATAAAATACACTTTTCTTATTTTTCAGATAGACGTGTTCCTGTATAATAAAATAAACATCGTAGCTCCATGGTAGAACATATTTATAGTTTGATCCAAGGCATCTCCCGTAGGCTCAATCCGCTCCGACGAGGGTATAGGCTGAGGCTGAAAGGATACCGGTCCTCAACGTAACAAATTGGGTAACTTATATGTTGGCAAAAACCTTTAGGATCCAACCTATGGAAATTTATTTGTGATTCTGCACAAGTTCACTTCATTTGGCTAATGTAAACGAAAATATCAATGAGACTGATAGTCGTTCCGGTACTAGTGATATATTCAACTGTGTGAAATTTATATTATTCAGATGTATAAGCTATATTAACTTGTTTTTTTATATTGTAAAACTTCATCAAAATCCGTTCAGTAGTTTTTTGTGAAAGATTAACAAACATCCATCCGTACTCCCAAACTTTCGCCTTTATAATATTAATAAGATAAATCCCTACAATTAATGACAAATTGCAGTCATTCCACGTGTAAGCAACTTGATATAGATATTCTAGTCACTAATCCATATGACATCCATATATTACAATAAAATAACAAAATAACTGACTTGCTCTTTTGTAATAAAGAAAATAACTTTTTAATTACTTTATTATGTATGTATTAAGTAAAAAATTAATTAGGTATTTTCTATATGTAAATAATATATTTAATGTTTGATCTAAGGCATTTCCCGTATTTTTATATATTTCATTAGAATTGTTCAGAATTGAAACTAATTCACTTACCGATATAAAAAAAAAGATTAACCAAAAATGAGCTAAGCATCAAATTGTGTTGTATTCATCTGAATGAACAATAATAACTACTTTTATTATAATATATTTTGTTATATAGTAAATAGTCAAAATAAATTCGAAAGTAATAAAAAAAATATAAAATTATATACAGCTTTGACTTTCAAAGTCTATCATCAACTTCGCGGTACTCTAGTTACAGTCACTGCTATGAAAAAACTACAGTTCGCAAATTTATTAAAAGTGCTATTTTCTGCATGTTTAAAGAACTTAACTAAGAAATATTTTAATTAACTGTAATTCTGTGTAAATGCTGTTGGTTACAGCAACGCAGCCGCTGCAACCGGCTACAAGAGCAATTTAATTAAATAAGTTTAAGAAAAATAAAGTGAAAATATTTTAGCGCGCTCGAATTCACTAATGAAAGTTTTAAATGACCGACAAAAAAGCAAAAAACATCGTGACCTCGTTATATGGGTGGCAAGGTTTTCTTTGCCGCGAAAAAAATAATTTACTTCCACATGACCAACCTTATAAATATAGCGCTAGGGTGCATAATGAGTCGTATTTTGGTTTCAAACGTGGAACAGTAGCGCGCCGGTTGTGTAAGAACTTTTTTTAAAACTTTTTTAAATCCGCACCAAAACAATGCTTGGTGAAATTCATAAAGGGGTCCCAAAGCGTCGACAACAACTGGAACAATGGGGCCGATTTCGACGATTAATCTTTGAGACGAATCGAACTTCGACCCAAGTTGGTCGTAATTACGAAAATGTTCGTAACTTCCGAAATATTGAAGTTTTATAACAGTAACCAATTCTATATTGTATAATTATGCTTCAAATTTATACAAATACAACACAATACTATACTATAATCATGTATAAAGTAATCTGAAACCTTGGAAAAGAGGTGTTACGTTAAATCAAAACTACTACTACAAGTACTACTAAACTTAATAGACAAAATTTGAAAATTATCATCATTATTTAAAAAAATAATATTTAAATTAAAAAAAGGTATGAATTATGTACCAAGTACGAATTTAAAATTTAAAAATAGAACGTGAAAAAGTAAATTATGACGAAGACAATTTTTAGAATTTTATACATAAATTATTACATTTTTTGAACTAACCTACAATACAAATGACGAAAACAGGCAGGCAATTTAAAATTAATTACACGTAGACAGCTATCTACATTTACTTAATACCGAAGCGGGCGTTTTCATTTATTTCCAGCCTCAATAAATATCCAAAAAAACGAATTTCCACTGAAGATTTTGTTTTAGACTTTCCTTGCTTTTAAGTTACTCGAGCGAAGATTACAAAATAGGAGCAGATTAAACATTCCACAGTTGAGTGTCCAAGCTTGCCCTCCGCTGCATTCCAATTACATTGTCTGTCGGCGGCAGTAACAAACTGAGCCGGCAATTGAATATACTTATTAGTGCCCGGGCCCACACAATTGCAAATTAAATTAATCGCGTATCATATGACAGAGGTCATATTCGTAACTTAATTTGTTCCTTTATTCTATTTACAATATTTCTATTAGGTACAGTTTTATTTTACGGTATTACATTTATTTTCGTGTATGATTTTTATAGGTATAAAGCATTTTAGTTGTTGTTTTGTGAAGAATTTAATTTATTGTATAGTATATTATTAATACCTTGTATGTATGTTATTATTCTGTACTCTTGTTAACATAGAAAAACAAGTTTGTTCTTTCTCGATTCTTCGATAAATGGAACCATTAATAACACCACAAATTAGTCCGAGAGATGACGGTATATTTGAATCCTTATGTTTATATTGAATATTTGAATTATATTTATAGGTATATATACGTATCTAGTGTAATATAGGACTGATAATATTTTTACATATCTGGACATTTTTAGTAGTCCGTGGTCCACTTGGGCGATCTGAGAAATTATGAATCACGTCGAAAAACATACGAATTGTATTTATTGAATTGGTAAACGAAATGATTGACTTCTATTATAATATTGAAGTGACAATATTTTTACATGTCCGGGCATTTTCAATGACCTTTGGTTCACCTGAGTGAACTGAGAAATTATGAACTTCGACCTAAACGTCATAGTACGCGTAAGTAATTGTATTTATTAAATTGGGAAAAGATACTAATAGAGTTTTAGTATTGTGGGCTAGTCGTAACCATACATGGCCAGTAACGCAGGTTACATTAGGTCAACATTTATAGGAGTCATACCTGGTTTCATCCTTTGTGGTTATTTCCTTGTGAATTAACTACGATCGCCTAACTGATCTATCTTTCATTTCACCATTTCACCCTTAAGCGATGCCTCATTAGCGCAGATACTTATTCTATTTCATAGACATACATTTAAAAAACTCAATTGTACTTTTTTAATTATTTATTTATCCATGTTCTTGTTAATTTGTTAATGTTGTTGTTACTTTAAAAACGTTATTATAAACATTTTACAGTATTCTGCTTTATATAAATTACAATTAAAATCAAATAAAAGAATACTAATTAGCCTAAATAATTAAAACTAAAATTAACAATAAATGAAATCAATATGTCAAAAAATGTAAATGAAATACAAATTGTACTTAATTACCTGTAACAGTTATTCATAATGATTTATACAAAAATAAGTAGGGCTGCTTCCATTATTACTTAATTCATCAAGTTACCTCAGTAAAATCGTGCGATATTAATGTCACGTATAATTAATGGGTCCCAGACAGCTACTATGCGAAGTCGGCAGCATAATTAATACGTTCGAGTACACCTTCGTCTATCTGTAGTGATTAATTGGGAATTATAACTGTTTTCGAGTTTTCGAACGATGTTGTGATATCTCCTTGCGGTAACGAGGTAAGAAGAAATGTAACTTTAAAATACAAGGAAAAATGAGGAATGTCAATGTTTTGGCACTGATATAAGTCACTGTTCTATCACAGACTGGAATGAATTCCCCTAATAGTAAGAGTAGTAACACCACAGAAGAAAAGAAAAAGAAGTCTCGGACTGTCACAAAAAATGACTTCTATGACTGTCTATGAGAGAGACAATTGCTAAAGACAATATATTATGGCTAGAATAATACTTTCCCTGATGCATACTTGAGATATTTGAAAGTTTTACTGAGTTGACCGAATTTTCTATTTCTGCAATACATATTTTCTTTTTTCTCTGTAAGCCACAGAATAAAATAGTGTATCTCCCATCTGTCCCAACGTGATTGCAATATAGAAACGGACCCGCATCAAATTTGTTAAAGACCATTGACAAACTCGTGGAACATGTCAAAAGTTGGACAGAATTCAACAGATATGTACAATACACACCTGCGGTATAATATTAACGTTATTTTATCACTCAAAATTATATAATACATTATTGTGAAACATTTTTTTTATTATATAATAATAAAAAAATAAATCATTAGTCTTTATCTCATATAGTAACCTGTTCTGGTGGACAATTATAGTAGTTTCCTAATTTATTTAAAAGTACATAACTCGAAGATTGAAATCGGTTAGTATAATCACAGATAACAAACCACTGTATAATGTTAAGTTCGAAAAAATATGTCATATCGGTACGAATAGATTATAAAAAATCAAAATTAATAAAATAAAATTCAAACCCTCAATATTGAACTTCAATCGGCAAACATTAAAGTAGGAAATTTACTTTTAGATAACAGTCAACTAAAATTACAGTTATTGTCAAAGAACAAAATATATAAGAAAATATAATCGAAAAATCGTAGTTAAATTATGGAGATAAATAAAAACGCCGTTATGGTCCTTTCACATCTCTTTTATAATATTTTTATTCATAAAACAAATGAATGCGTAGCGCAGTCGAAATTCAAAATAAATACAAAAGAGTTTTTATGTCTCGTACATATACCGATTTCGAATAAATTATATATCTCAGGAAGTAGTATGTAAGAAGTCATTGGATATCTATACATATAAATACAATTGGAGTGTCTGTTTGTAATATTGAAATAAGTGTTTTTTACTACATGCATATGAATATATATACGGTACATATACCAAAATAACATTTTATTATAATTTTTGTCTGTCTGTCTGTCGGTCTGTTTGTTCCGGTTAATATTTGAAATGGCTGAACCGATTTTGACGGATCTATTTTTGGTTCGTAACTGATGTAATAAGGAGTAACTTAGGCTACTTTTATTTTAGAAAAAATATTTTATTTTAGTAAAATAAAGTTCAATTCCACGCGGGAACAGCTAGTTATTGAATATAAATAAACAGGAAGCTACATATGGGACTATAAAAATAATCGCACAAGGAATAAATGTTTTCTCAATTAAGAAATTATAAATTTGAACATTGTATTAATATGATAAAGTTGTTAGCAAACTCTCAACGTAAACAAAATTTAATAAAGATAAATCGAATCTTAAGGTGAATATAGTACTAAATTCAATTTAAATAGCGGTTTGGAGTTACGAGTACAAGTAGCTGGGTTAGAGTTACTTGCTACTTGTGATGCAGTTGCAGAGTTGGACTCATAAATCGCGGTCCCACTTCGAATGAAAATGAGCTTGAATTCAATTTGATACTTCATGATTTTCACAAAAACAATTAATTATACTTAAAAATAATTATATACATTTTTTTTTTATCAGGATGCTGTATTTTTTTCTCGTTTATTTTATCATTTAGTGTTATTTTGCGGATGTGCTAATTACTTACTTAATAATTATATTGTTTAACTACCTGTACTCACGACTTCGTCCGCGTGGAAATTTATTTTATTTTCCTAAAATAAAAGTAGCCTAAGTCACTCCTTATTACATCAACTACCTGCCAAAAAAGTCCCGTCAAAATCGGTCCAACCATTTCAGAGATTAGCCGGAATAAACAGACAGACAGACAGACAAAAATGGTAAAAAAAAATATTTTGGTGTTGTACCGTATTTATATTCATATGCATAACAAATGGTTATTTGAATATTACAAACAGACACTCTAATTTTATTTACATGTATATATTCCGCGACCGCATGTGTGAGACCACAAACATTTAGTGTGGATATCTAACCACTGTACTTGCATCTTCTGTATCAATGATATTTCTGGTAGTGGAATTAATTAAATAATACAAATTCATATGTATTCATATGTATAATGTATTCTGTATATGAAAATTTCACAAAAGTTGCAGCTAGCTTAAATCTTATATATATAATATTCCTCCGACACGGCTTGACTGATTTTTATGAAATTTTTGTATATATATTAAGTAGGTCTGAGAATTGGCTACTATCTATTTTCCATACCCCTAAGTAATAAGGGCTGTTCACTTTTAACACATTTTGTCATTTATTGGACATATTTTATTTATTTATAATGTGGCATTAAAAATATATACAACTCTAAATTTTCACCTTTTCATCACCAACTCCTCTTTTAAATAGCGATTTTTATTTTTTTTAACAATTTATTTATTTATTTATAATATGACATTAAAAAATATATACGACCCCAAAATAAACACCCATCTATCGGCCCTATTGTTTAATAGCAATTTGAATATATATGGCAAAACAACGTTTGCAGGGTTAGATAGTAGAATATACATAAATAAATTGTTATCTATTACTAAGATTCGAACAACAATATTTCAATGAATTAATTTTTCTTACCCATGCTAACTCCAAGTGTCCCGGCTTATTTCAAGTTTGTATAAGTCCAGTCGTATCCATAATCTTTTCTATTCTATACATCTGTTGTTTACCATTTACCAGCGTTGGTTACCATTAGTAACAGTCGATCCGTCAGTGCCATAAAAATACCTGCAGTTGGTTTTTATTAAGCTGAAAGAGACCCTAAAAAGCTTAAGCATAATCTTCCTGAACAAAATTCTTACAAAATCCTTTATAATCCGCTGAATCCATTAACTGTGCTGTAAATTCCACTGAAATGTTGTGAAAAATATGAACAATGGGCTTTTGGTTTCAGTTTAAAACACCTTAGATCGGTGTTTGGAAACAGCATGGTTTCACTCAATAATTATAAATGTTGGGATGGGGCTCTCTTACAGCGATTTTAAGTACGTCAAAATAAAGATCGTATCTTAAATAAATATTTATTATCTAAAGTAATATTATAATAGGGTAAATTTTGTGTATCTCCATAATCGGAGATTACCAACTAAAACTAAATTTCTATTAATTCGATATTAACATTTTTTACGGTTGCATAGTAAATTGAAACCCGAAATAGCAACGCATGGTATCAACGGTGTCAAACCCTTGATATCGCGTGTTGCTATTTCGGGTGACTAATAACAAGAAGAAAAAAAAATTATTCATATAATCTTATTTTGAAGTCATATTATTTTTTATTTTACAGTTGTATAACAAATTTAAGATTTTTTACGACTATTTTTGGACTTTAGTGCACTTTACCTTACCTCCCTTTTTACAATGTTAAAATCGCTAATACTGTACCACAGCTCAGTTTCGTCGTCGAATAAAGTATTAATTTACTGAAAATGAGATTTCATTCATTAGTGAACTATCCTTTTGTGTGTCGACGGAGTGTTCAAGACAACAATACGTGGAAACGTCCCTTTAAGCTCTAATTAAATTGTTATTAATTTGTAATTCTCCCATTTCATATTTTGCTTGGTAACAGCCGCTATTTTGATGGTTGTTTTGAAGTTTCTGTGTATCTAAGCAAGAAAAGAATTGCTATTTATTCTCTACAGATACAAGTAATTATGAAATTTTGAGAATTAAGTGAGCTCCTACATCTGCAATATTATAAACTAGCTGTTCCCGCGGTTTCACCTGCATGACATTTATAGTATAAGTTATATGACTGTAAAGTTTCATCAAAATCAGTTCAGTAGTTTTTGCATGAAAGAGTAACAAACATCCAACCATATTCACAAACTTTCGCGTTTATAATGTTATAAATAGGTAATTTTCTTAAACAATCTTGTAATAATTACATCTAAGCGACCCCGGGGCGGGCTAGTAATACTCATTTCGCAAAAATTACAAAGCGCTTTAATCCTATGATTTCCGCACAAAGTTTCAAGCGAGTTACGAACTAACAACGGGTTGGCAGCTGCATTCGCCCTAATATATTCGGATTTCGCCTCGCTTCCCCCAAAACAATAATCGTATCGTAATTTTAACAAATATCAGTAGGTACACGGGATTTCTCTTCATATACAAAGCTAATGCGCTCTTTTTCATAGGATTTTATAGGGTTTGGTATTTGCAACTTCAAGAGGAGCATGTTTTCAATCGGATTGTATTTTTTCTATGTTCGTATTTTTTTTTGGTGCAAGTTGAGCAATTAATATACAAGGTAGTATATATTATGTTATTGAGAAATTAGAATAGAGTAGAATTGTGACCCATTCTTAAAATAAAAATATAAGTGCATAAATACATAACATGGTATTGGTGAAAAGTACCTGATGATTTCACAGTTTTGGTCATTTCTTACTAGACTTCTTGAAGTTAACTATGTTCTTATTCGGTCTTTTTATGATCTTCGGTCTTTTAGATTTATTTTCTTAATTATTCGTATACAAAATAAAGTTTACGGATACGAAATATATAAGTTTAATTTTTAAATTGTCTTGTAAAAGTAATTGTATTGTAAAACTGCAAATATCTAGCTAGTAGATAATTATTTGGCAGATTTGGAGTCAGAAATAGGTGTGGCAGAGGTCATCAAATTATGGTATTATGGTATGACGGCTTTCCACGAAATCTGCCTCTCACAACGCTAATGTTCATGTAATAGACAATTTGAATAGTCTAGTGGTTAGTTACTTGCTTCAATAACATCTCCCCGCACTATCTCGCAAGCTTGGCATTCACGTGTATCAAAACGAATATCCTGATGATCAGAATATTTGGGCATAAATTTACTTTTGAATATTTTTTTTGTTAATCATCATCATCAATATATGAAATCTAAATCAACAACCATTGTGTGGTTTAGAAAAATATAAAACAGTAACAGATTCCAGATATACGGTTCATTTATAGATTAATTTTTCAAAATACTCAATAAAAAATAACATAGATATATAGAGAGGTTTACATGGTTATACATCTGACAGCCGTTAGAGCGTAACGTCTATGTTGGGCTTTAAATTATAGCTCGCAAACAAGATTTCTCCGATGTTTTGATGTATATTCGTAGTTCCAAATTAACTTGATATCTACCATCTGACAAGCACGATTTATGCGAAGACGTCGACATAATTGCGTCCAGATTTCTCTCTAGGTCGGGATCCTATTAAACTAGCAGGTACCAACCAGTTCACTGACAAAAGATATTTTGACAGATATTTATAATGAAACTAAATTATAATGTTCACATTACCGCATTTATTTTCTGTATTATAACTTGATATTTTTGGAAATATCTTATATGCATACAACAAAATTGATAAATAAATAATATAGAAAATACCTAGACTAATACAAACAATCATATTCATGAATACAAATGTTGAACCAGCGACCATCGCAAACTAGACGTGTGCTAAACCACTAGACTACCAAGACCGTATATATAAAAACGATTGAAATTATTTTTTGGTTTATATTTCGATAGATTCTGAATATTTCTAAATACATACATATACCAGATATATCCTGCAATTTCACACACTGTTTATTGTAAAATAAATAGCGGCCACTCTCGTCTCTCGATCCTAGTGCATCACAACAGCGTCTACATATTCTATTTTTTTTAGTTTAGCTTTTATACTAACTTTTTCTTTTACTCAGCATCTTCTTTAAAAAAAATTTAACTCCGAAATTTTTTTTTTAAATTCTGACTAGTATTTCTAGAGATAAACGATTTCAAACTGTTCCGCTTTATATATAGACAGCCAGATTTAGAATAATAAATAGAAAATGAAAAATTCATCGCTGCTGAATCTTCTCATGAAAAGCAGTCAGATTGAAGTAATTTGCTTGAGTTATTTTCGATTTAGACGATCTAAAGGAAAGGAAATAAACTGAAATATTCACGATAGTTTTACCAGATGGGGTAATCAGAAACATTGCAATCTTGAATCCTTAGGTAGTTATAAGAGCAGATGAATGCCGAAAAAGAGATGGATGGATTGTGTGAAAGGCGATAGAAAGGGAGTGAAAAGAGAGATGACTGCGACAGGGTTGAAGAGAAAAATATACTACGCTGATCCCAAATGAATGGGATAAGGAAGAAGTTGATGATGAGAAACTAGTTAGTTAGTTAGTTTAAGTCGGAAGTAGTAAATCACTACGCCACGATACTCGCACTGTAAAGGAAAGGAAATATTCGAAATTATTTGATAAGACGCATAAAAATTACCTCCTCAGTTTTTCCCCCTAGTTGATTTTAATAAAAATATTCCTGAAATTCTTTCTGGGAATAGTTTCTGGCAAATGACTTCTTCAACTGTGCCAAATTTCAAGTCGATAGCAATTGTAGTTACTGTGAAAAATAGCTGTGACACACATACATACAGTTTGTGTATCTATAAGGTTGTATTTCACTACTCCGTAAGAGACTGACTGCTGATTCATTAGGTACTTGTAATAATAAATTTGCAATGATTTTTTCATGGGGATACGTTACGGTTTATACTAAAGTAAAACTCGAAAGTCATTTATGAAATTGCTCCTACATCCCCAAAATAGTAAAGTGCAAAAGAGAAAATAATTTTTAAACATTTCATACAATCAGCGCAGCTACGTGTTCAAAGCCTGAATGTTCTAAAATGTATTACTAGATTTAGACTTTGTTTCTTGGTGATACTGGTTCAGATTCACACTCTATCTGGGCTTAGGCTTGGACCTATACAACTAATGTATATTAGCAGTGAAATTATAGGGTATTATATATAGACATATCTTCAGTGTCCTCGAGAAAGACAAAGGCTAACCTAAAAATAGAATATTATGAGATAAATATAAATTAGTTTTTTGACGAATAACTAATTTTAGTGATGTACCGTTCAATAACAGATACAACATCTTTAGTGTAACTTGAATTATTTACAAAATCTCCTTAGTAATGATTGCCGCATTCTGTCAGGTGAGTCTTCAACATGGTTTTCATTCCAGTTACATTTAAATAAAACAAACTTTACAAGCATCGAAGTCCCTATAAACATGCCTTTTGTAAATAATTAAAGTTTTACTACAGGCCTTGTATTTGTTATTGAACAGTACGTCACTAATGTCGTCAAACGTCACAAAACTAATTTATATCTATCTCCTAATGTTTTATTTGTAAATGGAAGTAAGTAAGCAAATTAGTGTAATTCGGGGCGTGTTACACGGATGTTTCGCGCAACAGACGATGTTACTGTCTTGGCTCGGATTAACTTCATTAGTGGGCTTTCGCTCCTCTTCTAATTCAATGAGGACGGCTCGGTCCTAGTTGTTTATGGTACACGTCCTGAACTGATGTCAAGCAACTTGCAGTTCGTCATTGTTTTATTTTCATTGCGACAACCTCTTCTGATAGTCGCAGGTTCGATTCCTCGTATGCAAACACTTGTATTCATGAATATGATATGTACTTAAAAAAAATATATATTTATCGTTTGTTTAGTACCCATAACTCAAGCACTGCTTAGGTTAGAACTAGATGGTACCGTCTGCATTGTCCAGGATTAAAAAAGTATTTGGAGTCGGTGCAATGTGTCTTCTACTACTGAAGCCTATCCGCCGTCATATTTGAGATTAATTTTCTTTTATGAATGTTATCTTTTACACAATTATCAAACATCTTTTTGATGGTTATCAAGTATGATTAGGTGTCACCCCTATTTTTGTACAAGTAATATCCATGTTACTTGTACGATGTACTGATCTGATCTGATAACTGTGATTCTTATTGTGTTATGAATTAGCAAATTTTAATTCACATGAAGTATAAAAAGTTGAACAACATTTGTGTAAACGGTTTTATGTTATTTTGTATTCCAGAGAGCCGTGTGTCACCAACCCTCGGTGTTATGTCTTACAATGACTCTATTCTCATAGGACATTCATTTTATTGGGGTCCCGAGTGAATCGGCTGAGTAAATTACGGCTTTTTGTTTGTTTGTATGCCGCTGAATGAGAATTTAATAAAACGGCCCTAAATTTGTACGTTCATATAATTTATATGTTAGTATTCATATATATTAGAATACATGCAAATTTCTTGTTCATTAATCTATAGTGTTATACACTTATTTATCAAAATAACTGATTGATCAACCATATAGTCTAATCAAATATAAAACTTTTGCAATAAATTTCAAATGTGGGCTGGGACTGGTCTGCTCTGATAACTATGACTGCATTGTTTTGTTATATACTATTTATTTACCTACTTATATTTAATTTTGCCATTTGACAGTACTCATATTAAATTAAAAAATTGGAATGCTAATAGTATTTGTATGGGCGTTTTCTGTGTATATTATTCATATATCTACTAGCTGTACTCGCGACTTCGTCAGCGTGGAATTTAAATTTATTTTTTATAAAATAAACGAATCTTTCTAAAATAAAAGTAGCTTAAGTTACTCCTTATTACATCAGCTACCAGTCAAAAAAAGTCCCATCAAAATCTGTCCAGCCATATAAGAGATTATCCGGAACAAACAGACATACAAAAATTGTAAAGAATGTTATTTTTTTGTATGTACCGTATGTATGTAGTAAAAAACGGTTATTTCAATATTACAAACAGACACTCTAATTTTATTTATATGTATAGATTTACAGAACAATGGATTTAAGTATAAGTTGTCTAGTACCAATAACATAATCTCTGCTTAGTCTGGAACTAGATGGCGCTATATGAAGTGTCCAAGCTTATTATTATTATTTGCTTCATTTTCACAGCTTTCATTATATTTATATTCTGAACTTATAATCTAAGCTTATATTCCTGGGCCTAAAGCCCTGTCTATATAATTGAATATTGCTCTGATGAATCTTGTCAAGACATCTTTGAGGCTCTTTATAATCTTCCTTAATAGAACACATTTTGGCACCCTTCTTGTCTCTGTACGTACAGATATAGTCACTCGATTCTTGATCCGTCTGTGTATTTGTATTTCTATTCCCAAAGCTAGAGCTGAAAATTTTTTTTGTTAGTTAATCGAAATGGAAAACTAGTTAAACAATAATCAACAGCTTACCTGCCACAAGATATCCGATACCCAAAAGGCAGAAGGCTCCTCGTAACATTGTCAAAGACACGGGCTCCAAACCTTTAGTTGATTCCCCCTGCGTCTGCATACAGAGATGTGTGTTTATATTTTTTTCTTTGCTAATAAAACTAATAATAATAGTACATGTAATAATTAAATCAAACCCATCTGATATAAACAAAGTACAGTTTGTGTTAATAGTACTAAACAACTGATACACATAGTTAAATATTTCTTTTTTACTAACTGACATAATAATCTCGAACCAATACAAACAATCATATTCTTGAATAACAATCTTTGTATCGTCCCAGGAGTCGAACCTGAGATCAAAGTCGAAAACCAGTAAGTCGATGTGTTAAACCACTAGACTGTCGAGGCAATCAAGTTATTATTCTTCATACTAATATTATAAATGCGAAACTGTCTGTCTGTTTGTAACATTTTCACAACTAAACGCCTAACCGGATATCAATAAAATCGAACTTGATAAATAAACTATATTTTATCTACAAAAAGCAGATGAAGTCGCGGGTAACATTTAGTGACGACGTTAGGTATATATATAACATATAAATATATAACATATAACATTAAAACAATAAAATTAGGTATAAATTAGTAAAAATTCATTAAGTTTCGTATAGTTGTGAAAATATTACAGAAAAACACAGTCTCCCATTTATAATAATAGGATGATTAATAATAATAATAATTGTACCTGAGATGTAGCTATAGATTCTCCCGTGAGGTCACTACTTTCTTTATCAGTCTCTGTCACAGGCTCCGATCTTCTTGATCTTTCTGGTAGGTTTTTGTATTCGTCGGTAGTCATTTTAGCAAGGATGCCAGCTTCGAATAGAGTCATCACTCTGAAAAATTGAAACACCATTAATATTAAACTTTTATTAATAAGAATTAAAAACAAAAATCTTATCCTTTTACAAACACTATGAGTGGATATTGTAAGGTCATACCTAAATAGCAGACCTATGCCAATTAGGTCTTTTTAAACTATAATAGAGCATCATTCTCACTATGTTTTTTTATTATTTTTATGTGTTTTCTTATTCCTAAAAGTAATAAGAAAGCGATGAAAATACAATTTCAAGAGTATTTAGCGTTTTCAAAGAAACCAATCTATTGATAGATGAAAACTGCATGAAAATCTGTTCAGTAGTTTTTGAAATTGTTTTTGAAATTGAAAACAACTAACAGACGCTGCGGTAACTTTGTTTAGCAACTAAATGTGACATCCGCGATACCACTCGTGCGTTGCCGTTCCAGAGAACTAACATGTTATATCTCTTATTCTGTGCTTATTTCAGATGTATAGATAGATGTCTACAGCATAAGAGGTTAATATATATATTGATTAGATTTGACATATCATAAGAGAAACCTACATGAATAAAAGTATTTTTAGGTATATATTTTTATTTATAAACTAGCTGTTCCCGCGACTACGTCCGCGTGGAATTTAACTTTAATTTTCTAAAATAAAAGTAGCTTAAGTTACTCTTTATTACATCACTTACATACCAAAAAAAAATCCGTCAAAATCGGTCCAGCCATTTCAGAGATTAGCCGGAACAAACAAACAGACGGACAAAAATTGTAAAAAATGTTATTTTGGTGTATGTACCGTAATTATATTCATATGCATGTAGTAAAAAACGGTTATTTCAATATTACAAACAGACACTCCAATTTTATTTATATGCATAGATGTATAGATTAGTAGATACGACATATCATAAGAGCCTATCGCCTGTAACCTAAATGAATAATATTTTTTGTGGATGATCTAGACTAGAAAATCCGTATTCATACATTCATATATTGTGTGAAATATAAGTATCTAAACATACACATTATTGGTATATTATAGTACTTACACATTATTGAAGGTTTCAAGGTAAGGGCACCCAGTTTGTAGAGCTATAGCAGAATACCGTGTGTACAGTTTTTCACTTAAGTGAAAATTGTGGGAACCTATAAATAAATAAACAATATCTCGCTACAGTTCAATTTACACTCTTTTATTTGTAAGATAAAACCAGAGAGGTAACAACTAAACTAATGAGTTACGAGGCCTAGTAGTAACTGCCCAGACAGGCTTATATCCAAGAGGTCATGAGTTCGAAGATATAAAAAGAACTTTGTGGGTCCATTAATGATATAAAATCATAAAAATTATCCGATAGATGGAGGTGTTGTGGACCCATGCGATCTTAGTTTCAAATATAACTAGCGAAATGTACGCACATTTCGCTGTAACATGTCCAGTGTTGCGTTTACCATATATACATAGTTGACAATACTTTTGCTTACCCCATTTGTGACAGTATATTTTTTAAAGATGTTACGGCAATAGATGTAATGGACTGTACGTACCAAATCTTTCAGTATCATAATAGAGAGTCTCTCTTCCTCCCAAGATGGCTACATGTTTGCGTGTGAGTACCATCCTCACACCCACTTCTACACTACGGACACGCTGGATACGTTGTCGCCTCATTAATTTAGCGAGACGACCGTATACACCTGTCCCATTCTGTACAATAAAAAAATTTCGAGTTTCCATCTTTAATTTTTTCTCTTGTCTTAACAACTAAAATTGATGGAAGGTAAATCTGTGGTGATTTTGATGATTCTTTGTTTAATCTGTGGGGTAACTGAATAGTAGAAATGATGATAAATCTGAAGAAGATAATAAGCAAGCTGAAGAACTTTGAAGAAGTTTACTAACAAAGTCAGTTAACCACTTTTGAAATCAGATTCAGGGAGGAGATGGCCGTTACTTCGGCCGACATAAGCCAACACACCTATTTAAAAGAATTTACACATAAAAACAAAGAATTGGCTTTCAGCAACTCTATAAATCCTTCAGCGGGTTTGGAGTGGCCTTTGGATTTGCCAGTCTTTTCGCCGGAGAAATTTTGTAAAGACCAGCTAGCGAGCTTAGAAAAATAGGAAAAACAAATCAAAATTAGCTTGTAAATTTGCAATATCCATTTACTTATCCATACAGTTTTGTTGGGAAAATAGACCCTAAAAAGAGAAAGAGAGAGTTCCAAATCATTTTACCTCCAAAATGGTTAATGAAGAACTATGTCTTTCGACGACAAGTTCATAGTCACGGTTCCTCATTGCCTCTTCTAAAGCCTGTAGTGTTCCAATTGGTTGCTCCCGAGCTGGCCGTGCTAAGAGACTTGTTAGATTTGCCGAATACATATCACCAATAACGTAGGTAGCTCCGAGAGATACCAAAACTGATACTAATCTAGCTTTGTGGGTTTTAGAAGGTTCTTTGCTAGATGCTGTAAAATTAAGTAAATATAAACATTAATTTTTAAAATGATATTACAAAAATAAGTAATGGTAAAGAATATCTACAGTAATAGAAATAATCTTTATTCAAGTAAACTTAATATAAGCAGTTCTGAATAGTCACATATTTTATTCTACCGCTCATTTGGAAAGCAGACTCATCATAAGATGAACTAATAGAAATTTACGAGTTGCTATTTAAAAAAAAATTCTAAATAAATACACATTAACAAGGATTAGGCACGACAATCAACATAGAAGCCGCTATAACGGTTCCTAAATATGAGTTTGTTGTGATTTTTCTATGTTTAGTTATTAATACAATACATTAGTTATTTTTAATTATCTATAAGTTTAATATCTTACACTGTCTCAAGAATAGAGTAGTCGTGAACCAGCAACAGTTATTGAGAAGTCCCCATTGGTTATAGTGTCGCCTCTGCCACAAAGATGGCGCTGCGATCACTACCCACAGAGCAGGTCCAGTCACCAGAACTGTTGCACAGACCAGCGGCCAGACCTGGGATGGTAAGTAAGGTAGAATAGAATAGAATAAATCTTTCTTGCTAACTGTACATTAATTTGTAGTTGGTATAACAATATATATATATATAGACAAGGGTGCAATGGCCACATTATACAAGAGTTATAATTATGATTTATTATGTTCATCCTAATGATATAATTTATCTTTAAATAAAATTTTATTAAGATCCGTTCAGCTGTTCAGTCGGGAAAATAACAATAAATAGACAGATAAATCGATTTTGCATTTATAATATTACTATAAATGTTGGGACACTTAATAATGCAAGATGTATTTATGAAGATTTTTATTGAGGAAAAAATAGAAGGAAAGAGGGAGATCGGAAGACCAAGGCATAGTTACTTCAAGCAAAGTAAAGACAAAATTTGAGTCGTGTCGTATCAACATTTAAAGAGGAGGAAGATCATGGAAAGTGGCGAGAGCTCCACCGACAAGAACGTGGCTCTTAAATTATGAATGAATGAATTATTAGCATGGAATAAGCGTAGATTTTCAGACAACACAAACTAATTAATTTGCGTGAATACCTCTATCACCGCATAGGCAGTTTGCTTTGTAAGCTGTGTTTTGGGTGAAGGGTAAAATATGCCAGTAAAATTACAGGATATGGAGGCATGGCTCCTTAGTGCCATGGAATGGCAATACATGAGGGGCATATGATGTCCATAATGCTGCTCCTGCTTATATGCTACGGTTGTTATTTACCATCAGGGCCATAGTTTGTTTGGCATTCTAATTACATATATAAATATTTTAAAATTAATATCATTTAAATTATAAATCCTAATAAAGTAATCGTTAACTTTACCTCCCACTGGAATGGTCTTATGATGGCCAGCGTTTCACTTAGTTTAGCTGGAGCGTGAGTTAAGAAAGCACCAGAATCTGCTAACGTTAAGAATGAGAATTCTACTGCTTGCAAACGCTCCCAAGTCATGGTCACGTCACCAACGAAGAAGTCTGCTTTCTGTAACAAAAGTAATAAAGTGTTTGTTAACCAAATGCAATGGGAATAGCAAACAAACTATCTATAAAGACTTAGGTTTATTTTTCACAAGTATTTCATATTTTGACTCCTTAGTAATCTAGCGGTTTAGTACATCGCCTTACTTCCAATGGTGACGTATTCGATTCTCACATGATGTAAAATATACATAGAGAATACCCAAACCGATACTAGCAATCGTAGTCATGAATACAAATGTGTGCCACTTTCGAATCGAATCTGCGACCATCGGAAATAAGGAGGTGTACTAAATCACTAGACTACCGAGACTTACGACCTTAATAGATAATTATTTAATATTAATAAAAAATAAGAATATTAAAGAAAACAAAAACAATGTTTCAAAATAACTAACACGTTTCCAAATTAGTCCAAGAGTTCCTCTGAATGTGCCGTTGCCAGATATGCTGGAACCCTGACTTCTATCTGGCGGATCATAATATTTATATCTGTTAAATATAAAAAAAAAGTTACATTAAATTAGCAAATGAATCACAACCGTAGGCTGAAAGAAAATAAGATATTTCAATGTTCAATACATTAATATAAATCTCTAATAGAGTTTATCACTTATTACAATGATATTATTAGAATAGAATAGAATAGAAAATCCTTTATTTAAATTAATTTAATTTAAGCAGTTTTGAATAGTCATAGTTATCCTTATTTTTAATCTACCGATCATTCGGAAAGCTGTCTCATCACAAGAAGAATGAGTACGAAACTTGCGTGTTGTTCTTTTAAATAATCATTTTAAATTTACATTTTGAGTGAGATTCATAATGCATATTAATGCATCAAGTAAAGCACAGGTACAAGTAATGTATGTATAGCGGCGCATATAATATATTCATTGTATTATAGACACTGGACATAATAATATTACATATATTCTTAAAACATATAAGGACTGTATTCTGCAATGAAATGATTTGATTTTGATTCGTTAGGATTTTGTGCTACTTGATTATTTATTCTAAAATAAATCACAATCATTAAAATTTGTATAACCTTTGTCTGAAAAGAGTATCACCCGAGTTTCTAGACCATTATCTCGGGTGAGTCTTCATTTTGAATGTAGCTGTAGAATCATAGAAAATGACTACACAAAAGTGCTTTTATTTGCATAAAGATTGCTTCTAGTCTATTCTATATGCAATGCGGCATGATATTTCTCAAATTAATTTAAGCAGGTGGAGTATAAGATAGATTGTAACTTATCCAAGTCTGTAAAATACAACCTCATTATTAGACATGAGGTAAGAAACAGTTTACACTTTCCTTACCAAGACATACCTGAAATTTAGTTTTTTAGAGAGCAGAGCCAGCAATTTGTCATCTCGCCCTCCTGTCACGTTGACTGTAGAATCGTTGTTGTATTTAACAAAGTGCCAAGGTGGTGCCTGAAGTACGAGCATATTTTTATAAATTGTTTATTTTTATCGTTTTCGTGTTTAAACGCATTTTTTATATGAATTGGATTGAAAAACATGGCATTGGTAAATCGGGAAATTAGTGATTTTCGCGTGCAGCAATAAAGGTTCTGTAATTCTTAGTTCTCGGTATCTTTTAGTTAGAATTTATCTAGCTAATTCTATATCTTCTTTAGAAATACAATAAAGCTTTTAGAATATATCTATACTACCTATTACATATAGGTTCGAGAATATATCACGATAAGGTTAGAGTAGTTATTGAGATTATCGCAAATATACAGACAGATGCAGAGAGATATTGCTTTATAATACGTATTTTTTAATAAATATAAACTTACATGCAGTACGGGAACGCGGAATACCCTTCCTTTGAAGTTTTGATACACTTTATCAGCCGGTGGCAAAACAGGCGATTTATATAAACTACCAGACCACCAGTTTACCAAGGTGAAATGGTGAAGACGGTCAGGTGTGGCTTGGTTGTAGTACACTCGAAAACTGAAACACATTTGAAATGTATACTTACATCTTCAGCTATATCTCCTTCTATTTTTTAAAGAAGAAAGAAATTTCTTTAACAAAATTAGGAAATAAATAGAGTATTACTATTGTACCAAAACTAAATTAAGATACCAAAAGTACAACGTAAATATTCTACTGAAACATAGGGAATGTTAAATTGAATCGAGAAGACTAGAACATAATTTCTGTTATATAACAACTCTTAGGCTTCTTGAAAATAATCTACGAGTATAAAATCCATTTTAAACATAGATGTACAATTACAGTAATTAATTCAGCAAATGCAATGATCAAAACAAACTATTACCAGAAGTTCGTCATGACGGATGATCCAGTAGCTATAGTCGTATGGGAAAATAATTAAATATATTTGTTGAAAAAATTGCGTAACAAACGCAGGAAACATAAAAGGCTTATCATTTCGCAGCCAATAAATTGTATATTTTCTTTGGCAGTCATAAAATATGTTTTGGCCAAGTCTCAATCGGCGTTCGGGCCAATCGAATTACAAAGTACGTGATAGTTCGGACCTTTGTATTCTCCGTGCAGCTTTATTGAGCTTCGTTCGAGAGAAATGTAATTTTTAGAAATAGCCGTAGGCGCTGGCGGGGCCAATCAGCCTCTGTTGCTTATAGCCGAGGAAACGTTTGGCTTTTTTTATTCACTAGTTTGCTTGGACAGCTGTTTTAATAGTTTCCCAACGAGCATCGGTAGTGTGGCAGTAAAGTTACTTTTGGTACTGGTAACACCTGTATAGATTTTTTTCTTTAGTTGTAACTTTAGTTTTAATATTGATTATTTATGAATCGATCACCATATTTTTCTAAGGATAACTTTTCTAAATTTGCCTTGTAAAATAAAAAAATAACATCGCCTATGAATAAAGGCCCACAACTAAAATCATGGCAAAACAATATTACTAATGTGCAGTTCACCTAAAATTGTAGTTTGTAGATAACTTGTATAAACACAAATTAGACAAAACTTTTATAGCATTTTAAGAACTGAATAAGCTGATGGGCTTCTTCATCGGTCTATAGGCGAGTTTGTTAAAATAATCACTAGTTTCTTACAAACAAAAAGAAATAGCTTCTCTGTACAAGTGAAAATCATTTATTAATTTAGTACCTTTCACTTATGTGTTAAAACATTTTTAAAATTACATAAGTTTAGAGTACTCACACACCGTCTCTGGGGTTGGTGATGACAGCAACCCTCATCGCTTCCCTGATGGTGTACAGGAACCTGTCACTGATGGATCCACTCGGCCAGTAGAAGATGTACAGGATTGTGCGGTGTATCAGATTATTCTCTGTTAACTGATGATTACAATGTATGAGTATTTATATAAATATTATTATTTATTTATGTAACTTTAAAGCACACAATACAAAAGGTATAGTGCGTTTGGGAGACTTAGCAACAAGAACGGCATTTCCTACAATTTTTTTTTGTCAATCATTGGCAGTGCATGGAATATTTATTGATCGTGTAAATATAATAACTGAAAAGTAATATGTTTTAAAATATAAACAGAAAGTAAAATATGTATAAAGAGACTTAGCAACTAGTTTCGACTACCTAGTTGGACTATATAAATATACAGATCAAGTTTATCTCAAATATCTTTCAAAAGTTTTCTTAGCTCTTATAGCGTGTTAACGGCTCAATCGCCATGAAATTTAATACCTACACTACCTATATATATTTGGCATTATAAAGATAACTACTTTTTATTAGGACATTAAATGTATTCTGGTTACAATTTTTTTATATAATGGAAATAGCAAACAAGCTGATGACTCACCTGATGGTAATTTATTTATTTATTTAATTCTGGCTACGTGGTCAATATTATAAATACCTTATAGACTAACATACTTAAGAAATAAATATAAATTCAAATTGTTTTATGGTCACGGCACTGACGACGGTAATCTGCCACGGTAGCGCTGATACACCAACCCCTTTGGCCAGTAGTCCTCCTTCATGAAAGGCTTCATGCTGCCCGCATGTTGGTCCCCACCAACATGCTGCCCCCATTCATGAAGGAGGATCCAGGTCCCGATCGCTTTGAACGCCGCATTGTGATTCGATTTCAATTGCTTCACCCTCAGTGTCGGTTACTTTTGGTCCGGATATAGGTATACATTACCGTACATGAAAAGCACTACGGCCACCAAGATATCACGTGACTCCCATGGTACCATCAATATGTTGTTGCAATTTCGGACGACTAATGTCATTCCTCTTGTCCTGTGATTTCGCTGCCTTATCTCATTTCAACACAGTTTATAAATTCGCGGTTGAAATAGGTAAACGCAGAAGACTTTTTCCAAAGTGTACCTCGAGGGAATAGCGCAAGCTATAATAGTAATGAGTGAACGTACACCAGTAACAGGTAAATGTAATAGTGTAATAGTTCATCTCCTGCCTTCTATGTACAGACAACGATCATTATTAATATATTTAAACGAGTTTTAACACGGATAATTTTAGGTTATATAAAGGTATTTTTTTACATTTCAACTAAGTTGCACTAGCAATGGATGACTAGTTGACTCAAAGACATCGATTGTTTTTTACAATGCAAAGTGTTTCTAATAATTTTAAATACCAATATTATGGTGTAGATCAGTGATTCCCAAAGTGGTCTTTATCGACACCCAGGGGTCTATGACAAACTGCAAGGGGTCATCTTGTTGTTTTTACTTTATGTTTTAACACTAAACTTTACTACAGTTAGAAATTTACAAAAAAATCTATACCAGGTAAGATTGGGAGGGTCTACCCAAAACCGAAAAATATGGCAAGGGGTCTACGACTTAGAAAGTTTGGGAACCTTTGGTGTAGATGATCTTTCGTGATATATGTAGTGAGTGTGAGATTACAGTTATTATATTTTAAAATAGTAATTACCTCAATAAGTATGTTTTCGCATTCATTATGTTCACACAGTATTAAACTTGTACGTTCTTCTGATATATCCAGTGCTTTTTTTAGGAACTCGTAGTACTGTAAAAGATAGGGAAATCATAAGTCATATATCACGTTGTATAACTTAGTGTTCATATATTTCTAAACTAACTGTGAGTAACTTTCTTTTAATTAAAAGTACTGTCTTTTTATAGACCGTAGTCCCTATCGCCTTTATATATTTTTCGTTAAACATTTTTTACTTAACATATTTTTCATTACATTAATAAAACCGTAATATTGTGACAAAGATAAAACTGTTTATTTCTGTGTTAAGATTTCACGTAAAAATTTATGGTGTGTTAGAATGAAATATTTACAGAACATGTCGTTAAATATTGTTCAACAAATATGCTAATAACATCCTAGAAATATATATATATATATATAATATACATGCGTGTTATAGAACATGAAATTCAAATACTAATTTAATTAATCGGCAAAAATAACCCAAACACGACATCTGTCGATTTATTTATAAAATTATAGATGGCGTATTGAAAAACATTCAAGAAAATTGATATTTTAATACTTGTTATTTTCTCGGATGTTATTAGCATATTTGTTATATTATTATATTTGTTGAACAATATATAACGACATGTTCTGTAATTATTATATATATAATATTCATGCGTGTTAAATTATATGGTAAATATCTAACCGAATTTGTACCTTGTGTTTATATTCTTTTGATGTAATATTTAAATTGATAACTTGAATATTATGGTCATTTAATAAACAAAGCAGCTCGAATATATCTTGGGATCTGTAAGAAAATAATGCAGCAATATGTAGTATAGATATAACTAATATTATAAGCAAACGTGGAAGTAAAAGTAAGTGGGACTCAGGTATCCACGCAAACAGCTTTTAACAAAGTACATTTCTATAAAAAAAATTATAATCGCGTATTTAGCCTGCCAACCTATTTATAAATCTACATATTGGATACTGTAGAATAGTAAATCCTTTATTAAAAAAAAATTACTTCAAGCACTTTTGAATAATCATAGTTTTTAATCTACCACTCATTTGGAAAGCTGTCTCATCACGACAAGAACGAGTAAGTTACTTCAGTGTTGCTTTTTTATTTTATTTAGTTGTAACTTTACATTTTTAAGTTAGAATGTGTGAATAGAAACTACCAACTAGCACTAATTCATTAGTCATATATCATATATATATAAAATTCTCGTGTCACAATGTTAGTTAGCATGTTCCTCCGAAACTTGACCGATTTTTATTTCTTGGGCTATTTTTTTTTCATAATATGACGTTAAAACAAACAAACTACCCATAATTTTCACCCTTCTACCATCAACCCCTATTTTTAATAGCCATCTTAATTTATGTAAACTATGTTTGCGGGGCCAGATAGTATAATATATAAACGTTGATGATATTAAATAACTGATAAGGATTTTGGTTACTTAATCAGTGTCTCCTACTAATAATAGTATTGAGTTAACTTTATTTATATTACCGTTGAAATATGTATTGCGTTTGAAAAAAAACCTTGACCTACTGGTCAAGATCTTTTTTCAAACGCATTAAAATTTATTACGTTGATATTTACCTGATGTTGGTAGACTCCCCTCTAACTATGGTGACAGTCTTCGCTGGCAAACCTTCCGCTATGTCCTTCACGGCCAAGGAAAAACCCCGAGGGAGTCTCCTCATAGTTGTCGACGTAATATCATCAATATCGAAAAACCCATAAGCCACATCGATACATGTCAGTAATGAGAAAATGTATTTCATTTTATATGAATCAAATAACATTTTTCGTTGGATTTCAACGAAAAACCAGCATATGTAATTTTACAAGCCTTTATTTACTTCACCTGTCCGGACGCCGTAATCAAATCATACAATTTATTAATTTGACCTACTTATCGATGTTCGATTGAGCTTGTATTGCTTTTATACGCTTATATATGGGATTTATAAATGTATATAATATATAATAGATAATAATATGATAAGCTCATGTTAAGTTAATTTTAGCTCCGTAATTGATGCGGCTGTCGACGACTCATTTTGTTAATCTACAATCTTATAAGACTCTTCAAGTATTAAGTCTTAGAATTTTATTTTATTATGAATAAAATAAAACATTTAAAAATAAATTTATGATTTTTGAGGTTCTTTCTGTTTTTGAAATTTTTTCTCTCTTGTGAACTGCTTTCAGTAAATTAGCGCATTTGTTTTCATTTTCGTCTAAATAATATTATTCGAAACGTTTTTAATACATGGTATTATTATAAAAAAATGATATAGGTACTTAAAGAAGAAGGAGGTTCATGAATTGAGAATTTTCTTTTATATGAAATCAATAAATATAAGAATATGTAAAATAAAAAGAATATACACCCCTATTTTCTTTTTTATATAGATTGTTTTTTTAACCGTAAAGCACTTCCATGTACGTGACCATAGTAAAAATTTTGATAACAATTTAAAACAGTTTCTTTTTGTAGGAAAAATCTTTAAATATGTGCAATTAATATCTCAGCAAATAACTTACATTAAACCGTTAAAGCTTATTATTAGATATATTTAATGTGACTTCAGCGAATCTCGTATGTAGTTAGTTTCCAGTTTCTTGAATCGCTATTTTCAATAAAATAACTTTCGACATCTAAAGTACTTTGAAATTTTGCGAATAATTTAGTAGGCAGGCAACCACCACCTTTGATAGCTGAGGCGTAAGTAACAACCGAAATATTCTGATTTATATTTCTGATTATATTATATGTTCTTATGTCTCTCACATAGATTAGACTATGCAGACGTGGCAATCGTTATTTATTTTATACGACTGCCTACAATATAATATCTTCGAAAATTTTAAACAGATGGTAATTCTTAACTTTTCATTGAAGGATTTTACATTCATATTGTAGTATTGTATTCAGTAAATTTAGAATAAAAAATATAGAAAATCAATCACAAGCAGTTCTCGGACCAAGCTAGACTTGATCTTACTTATAGTGAACAAATGCCTCTTTCACAAGTAAGCTTTTATTTTTTATACCCTATTTTTTATTTTTCTGCAACGGTTTATAAAATGTCTCATAAAAATAAAAAAATACTACTCGATTTAATTAATTTACTACTTAAGTAGAAAAGTCATGCGCCTACGTTAGTTGTTAGTTGCCTAGTCGTTACATTGACGACACAATTGTTACAAAAATGATCCAATTAACATATTTTTAAATCGAAATATAAATATACATAATTACTTACTAGTAACAGTATTAATCTAATTAATATATCTATTAAACAGCTGACCTTTCTATTTAATAAGATTATTATTCTATGCCAATATGCAAGGGTCTAAATCACCGACTAGCGGGTCGGTACGGATTGGCATTTGACGAAGTAAGTGGCCACTTTTCATCGGAAGGGCCTACATGACCGATGGTTTAAAAGCTTTACCATGTTGCCTTGCCACCTTGCGAGATATGGGACGTATACATAAACACTTTAGCCCGTTACGGGGAAGAAGGGTAAGGTTATAGTGACCTATTGGCTACTATTTCGTCAAGGGAGAAATTTTGTTTCCGATGCTGTTTTGGAATAACATAGTTCTTTTTTTTTAATTTAAAGTGACAGTTATTGTCGATCATTACAAGACATATTTTGCTCCTCTTCTTGGAGAGAAATGTATTTTATATCATAAGGTTCCTCCCAGAATTCCAGTATAAATACTGAAATATTTCTGTGTGCCACTACATCTGATACTTTCCTGCCGTCGATACTCCTAGATTCTATTAAGAGTTTTAAAGTTCTATCCAGAATATCTGTATAAATTTGTATTGGAAAACTTATATCTGCTAGATCTGAGGATTTCCTATGTAGGTACTCTTATTGACATTTTACGAAAGATGTTTTTACTAGATATTAGACACAGTTTTTGTCAGGATTTCAGGGTAGGTGAACTCTCTGAACTGTAGAGAAGGTAGGAGGTATAGTAAATTAAATTAAGTTAGACTAATAGTAGTATTCTTAAAATGCAATATATATATAAACACTTTTATATCTATAACATTGAGAACTGAGTTCAATTCGAAAGTAAATAAATTCTTGAGAGGGTTAAGAATCAGATGAGTGGAAGAAAGGGCGATTGACTGAAGGTGAAATTCGAGTTTCTAAGTATTATTGTTACGATGAACTTATTGTCCAGGGATTGTATATATGTATACACATATATTGCACTAGCTGACCCGTGCAACTTTAACAAAAAGTTTCTCTACAGCTTCGCTCCTAAATCAAACGCGTACAGTAAAAAAGTGTCTTTTATATACTAATAATAAGTAAACAGAATTGAAAAGTATGCCCACTGTTACGTTAGATTCAACTACTTTTTTTTATGTAGCTTTACGGCTTTGGATACATTGCTTAACGTAATATTTACATATAAAATATTGCGTCTATCACAAAATTTACAGTTGACAATGTGTCTGTGTACAGTTGCGAAGTTTATAATAAAAATGATGGTCGTCTGTACAAGATATATGAGAAAACTTAAAATATTATTAGGAGACTTTTTTATAGATGATAATGAAATGGTGCACCCACCTGCACTAACGGTTTACGCTGGCGGGGCACCAGTGGCCGATGATAAGATCAATATGAGGTCAGGTCAGTCAGCCCATCATAGCAAATTCATCAGGAATTTACCAAGATGGTTTCTAAGGGGAAACCGCGTGGAGGTCAACTGGACATAGTATATTGCTAGCAATGGTTTTTTTAGTCCAGATTACTACCAATCCCCTTCCTCTAGTAGGGGACGTTATTAATGTAATAGAATCCAAAACAATGACTGTTAGAAATTTTGTTTGTTTATTTAGATGTGCGTTTGTGCGCGCTAATCTCAGCCTGCTTAGTCAATTTGAGTGCGATTTACACTAATATTTTGTGGTAAGCTTAGTTTAAAATTTATCGTTTATTTTATTCGATTTACAAAAAAAGTCGTGAATTAGTTAGTTTAATAATAAAAAATAGCTATTTTGATTGTATTGTATGTAAACCTGTTCTTATTTATGGCATATCGTGTCGATTGGTGGAGTCCTGTCAGCGATTGAGGTGCTTAATAATTAACAATTCCAATACCTATATCTTGTGTATAGACATGTAATATTCCACATCCCTTGTTCCGTTAACGATGTTGTGGTTATAACCTAAAGGGCACGATATTAACAGCCTTCTAAATAATAACCGGAACCATCATCTCAAATAGGATTCAAATCTATTTAAGTATTAAATGTAACACAAGTTTCTTGGTCGTTCTTCTTGTGATGGGTCTGCGTTCCGAATGAATGGTAGAATAAAAAAATGTGACTATTAAAAAACGGTTATATTAAGTTTATTTGAATAAAGATTATTTATATTTATATTAAGAAGGGTAGGTAGTAAGAAGAATAGCTTTATTTTGTACCTGTATATTAATAAATATTTACCTAATATATATTTTGTTAATAAAAATATTCATTTATTTCTCCACGATTAAAAAAATATTTATTATGATATAATATTATAAAATTTGCAACCTGGAGACCTGTTTATTAGGAATACTGAACTCTATCTCAGACGCATTGTGAGATAATGAAATGTAAAAATAGATAATTAATATAGTAAGAATAAGTAAATAGCTTAATTCTTAGTTATAAACTTTAATATATTCAATAATTATAACTATTGAGAAATATCGCTTTAAGATCTGCATAGATTAATTTAAACAATATATATAAAATAATACTAGCTTATGGAGTTTTGATATCACAAATAATAAATAACCTTTGGTAACTAACATAGCGCCATCAAGTCCCACGGTAAGCAAATATTGTGTTGGGGGTACTAGACAACTGATATAAATATTTAGATATTTTATTTTTGTAAATACATACATAATTTACATTAAATTCACCCAAAATAATATAATCATACTTATGAATACAAATGTTTGCACTGTGGGAGGATTCGAACCCGCGATCATCGCAAATAAAGCGGTGCGCTCAACCGTTCGGCCACCAAGGCCGTCATCATAATTGTCATCAGCAATTAGAAGGAGAGGTTCCTACTGCGTCACGTATATAGGCAACGGTTACCATTTACCATCAGGTGGGGCGTCAGCATGTGTGATAAACCAATGAAAAAAAAATCGTTATTATAATTAGTACTTTCTGAAACGTAACTACTATGTTGTCACAGATAGATAGGTATTAAAATTTCGTATATATTTATCATGAGAAAAAATTATAATTTAACATATTTAAGTTAATCAATTTAGCAATTCAACTGAATTAGAACTTGCGAATTTCCAATTTGCCAATTGTTGAGAAGTCAAAAACAAATATATTGCAGAATTCCATTTATTTAACTTACATTGAGCTCTCATTTCTGTACGCAAATTAATTACGAGTGCCAACGAATTCAAATAAAATTAACTTCAATTAATTACTTATTTAATATAGGAGTTTTAAGTAGTCTGCTCGCCAGATATAAAGTGTTTATTACATTACATAATTTCAAAAGCAAATTATAACGTGGCATTTTCTTAGTGTGTGTATATTTTAACGCAGTTTGCCCATTATAAATTACTAGCCTATATGTTATTCTGATGTTTAAGCGTGTTACTGTAATGTTTCATCAAAATTCGATCAGTAGTTTTTGCGAAAGAGTAACAAACATCCATCCATATTCACAAACTTACTATTGTTCTATCTATTTATATATCACAAACCTGCTATTGTTAGTTAGTCCAAAATGAATAATAA